TACATGTTCGGGGGAGATCTGGATTTTAATCAACATAATTAGAATATAAGAAGTTTGGAACTTTTCGTATTTAATTTTCACATTAGAGTCTTGAAGCTTGATGACGTTGAATTTAATTACTTTGCTACTGACTAATTTATTTCGAAGTGAAATTAAGTTCTTGGCTCGACTTTTTGAGACAGAAATGTATATATAGATACATTATCAGAGGGGAGGAGTGTTGTTACGATACAGCAGAGGAGTACATGAGGGGGAGGGGCTGCAAAAATGTTTTGTGATAACACAATGTGTAATATGATTTACATAAGAGTTTGAGTGTAGGTAAAGATAGTTATTAATAATAGTTTGGGTGGCACTTACACCGCCTTTCGCCACCCGGAGCTCAGCTGAGCGTAGTCCGAAACGCTTCATTAATCAAAGCCCCAACAAATTTCAAGAAACACCACTATTACCATAAACAAGTCTTACTAGTTCCGAAGCGCTCAACATGCTCCAAGTATCCACTTTCAAAGTCAAAGTATCCATATTACCGTCCCCCGTCCCCCCTCCCAGCCCGCGACCCTCTCCCTTCGCTAGCCCGCCGGCTATAATTTCGAAGCGGTCACGAAGAAGCACGCACGCAGCACCTCGCAAGCCACTGGCGGAAGTTGTTGGAAACTTTTCGTTCATACACGCCCCGTGTGTTTATTGGTAAATATTGTGGAAAAATGTTGATGACCGAGTACGAGGAGATTGCATGCAGTCGTTTCAAAATAAACTGATCGTTTTTATTGTTATACGGATAAAATGGAAGATTCTGAATAGTTACTTATAAAAGTTTTAACACAAGTAGTATATGTACTGAACCAATTCCTATCTAATATTGGTCTAGCATCTCTGAGCTATATTTTAATAAGTAGAGTTCTTTAATCACGTCGAGAGGGCTACTAGAGGAGCATCATAATAAATCCAATAGCTCTTCAATATTACTCCCGCAGATGAGTGCGAGACGTCCGGGCTCGTTGATTAAAATTGATGAACAAAGTTGCCGACCGCAAGTATTGAGTGCGGGTACTCGTACCATGTTAAGATAATCATATTTGAACGCCCACTTGTCATTAAAGATGATGATAAGCGTTTACGATCATTTGGGGTTTTGTTACTCCGTGAAATATGGATTGAGGATCTCGTTGTTCAATCTTCAAGCCTAAATGAAACCATTTAGTATGATGTAAGAGTGATTAGCGAAATGTTTGTAACAACATTTTGTAGGTTGTACAAAACGGTTTAAAGTTTTACACGAAGTGATACAACAAACGCAATAACCTTCATTTTAGTTCTTGTGACCCAAATCAATCAATCACCTTCCCGTCCGAGTACACCGGTTCCCGCTCATTACGTATACACGTCATCAACAGCGCAATTTCTTTTAATTGCCATAAACGATTAAATACCGAAAATAGTTGTTAGTGTCAATTACGTGTCAGTAACTGGCGCTTCCGCGGTGTAAACGGCTGTCACGGCGCGATAATTGTTAAAATAATGACAGTTGTAGTTTTTATTGGTACTGCGATATACTGCGATATAGGGCGGTATTAACTAAATTACTTTGAAGAACTGACCACTTGACTACTATAGCCCAATTATATTATTTAATATCAAATTGATGTGATACATGGTGGAAGTTGCGTACAATTTAAAAAAATACTTCCAACGTTGTTTTTCGAGCAAACATAATTCGAGAGAAAGAAAAACGCTTTGTTCCGCTCTCTAGCGCTAGCAATAGAAGCAGGATATGAGGCTGAGCTGGGTTCGCACTAAAATAAATCGAGAACTAATAGACATTTCCAGAGAAGTATATATACGCGAGCAAGTAAGGAGACTAGTCAGCTCTGAGCTGCTTGAATTTAGGGAATTGAATTGATATGGCTTCCACATATCTGGAACATTCCACACGACACGTAGCCGGGCTTGTTTTGTCACGACTCCATTGTTTGTCTAGTCAAAGGTCTCAGAGGCACGAGTAGCCGACTTCGGAGTCTCTTTGTAGATAGCGGACCGATTCATAACCTTTACGGCCACTCTGCCGCTTGCACAGATATTCGTACTAGTTTACCTTGTCCGATGTCTAAATGTCCTTTACAATAGGACAGATATATTACATAAATCAAATGATTCCTTTTGGTCATAGGAATACAGTAGATTCTGTCTAAAAATTACCAACTTTTCGAATAATTCCAAACTAAATGTCAATAGTATAAATAATCGACGGATCGATATCGAAACCATTTCATACTTCCTTGAACATGTCGAGCTGTCATCGAAATGTTACTGACATGTACTGTCGGGGGTAGTCAGGAATCTGGAAATGGTGACCATTTCATAAAAACGATGTTTTATTTCTATGTCAGCTCGCATACGTTATATATTCTGAAGTTTGATAGTGACACTTATTTCAAATTACAACAAAATGTTTTACTCGTGACGGTAATTAGGTAGTTAAATAGAAAAGGTGTTATTTTCTGAAATTAATCCAAGCTATTTTGACACATAATCGCTATATTAATACATACAAAACAATCAAGTTTTATGGGGCAATCATTTTTAATTTTACATGTAAAAATGTTTATTACCTAATAAACATTTTGGCTTAAAGTAAAAAATTGCAAAAATTTGACATGAAATATTTCTCTACTCAGCACTTTCAACTGAAAGAAAACGGAGCGTCAATAAGTAGGTATACATGTCTAGATTCCGTGAGTTCTAGACTCAGGTGAAGAAAACGCACGAAGGCGTTTTGATTTCATTATGTGCTGGGGAGACTCAATCAGAGCGCGGCGCGGCGTACATTCATCAATCTAAAAGCTCATTGATTTCTAACCTATCCACACGTCCTTACGAGTCGGTCAAGGCCTCCTCCCACTCCCCCCTCCCGCCACCCCTCCTACACTGAATAACAGCTAATAAACGGCCCCGCGATGAGCCACTGTATCAATCCGATTTATTTCGTTATTAGTCTAACATTCGTGATAAGAATTACTTATAGCGTTCCATGGCGATTTATACCGGCTCGACGCATTTTCACGCAGTATAAACATTCTATAAAAGGTAATAGGGAAACTTCAGCCAAGTTTTTGTGTGAAACGATTTCCTAACAGTTTGTTAATGAATCTGATCGAGGAAAGTGCGGGGTAATAATGGTTGAACGCTTACAGTTTTTTAACGTCTTGAGGATCGTGTTATGGAAAATTAAAGTGATATCGAGTGAAACCAATGATATGGAAAACTGACAGTAACATTTTAAGACCCGTGGCGAGGGACACCTCTGTAAAATTATATACCAACCGACGTTTTATTATAAGGAGTATTTTTACACAGTACACATTTAAGAACTTGGTTCGCGTTTTTTTACCATTTTCTTATTCTTATCACAAACATCTTAAAAATGAGACCTCGGTAAGAGGGTGTGTCGGACTCTTACTTAGTAAGTACAACTGCCCCGCTCTTTCTTCTGCACCGGGGCTCTTTGTCCGTAGACCCACACTTGCGATAGCCGTGGTGATGGTCGGGCTATCCCTGAACCCTATTTACCTTCTGCGGGGGAACATGAGGTAGATTTTTCTCTCACACACTCCTTCTTTGCGGATTCTTAGTGCTTCTCGCTCTGCACCATGGCCTGGACAAAGGCCGGGTACGAGAGGTCGCCGCCTGCCGTAATTTATTATGATGCACCGAAGGTTAAGCTTTCGAAGCGCAAATTTATTTTTACAAGAAAAAAGTACCACCTGTTCCAAGTTGGAAATGTTTTTGTAGAAAATTGACAAGTAAAATCAATTTTTGTCCAGCACGTTCATAAGGAACATGTAGTTTTTCGAATTTTCGAAACAATTGCCTTAAAAACAAATCTGTGCAACTTCGATCCCGGCCACAGATTTTGCACAAAACAAAGAAACACAAAAACATGCATTGTTTGGTGCATACTTCAATTTGCTGCGTTCACCGCTAGAGGGCACTACAACCGATTGTTCCGATTATTTCTAGAACAATTTCATTGGCTCTCGATCTGCCAGCACTGATGTTACAGCCGGCTTAATGGGAAATAGTTTAAGTGTACGTTGCTCAACCCAGCCATTGTATTCAGTGCTGTGTTTTGAGAAATTCCGCATTCTCCTCCTTTATTCGGAAACAAACCCTTGGCTTGTTTTACTCCTTTATTTTTATGTATAATTTATTCTCGTTTTACATTAGACAAACTATTTTATTTATTAAATGGTTCAGTGAAATCAAACTTACAGGACTAACCAAACTCGTGAAAATTGAATGACTTGCTAGTCACGAGTGTCGTGTGTGGCATCGCGATCACAAAACACGTCTATCAAACTATGGAAACAAACATCTGGCTTCGGTTTAATCAAAATTTCAATCGCATTTGCATTGAGACTAACAACAGACGAGTTTATTAGAGTTTCAGTCGGTGATTTATAATGATTGGCCGCTGTCGAAGCAAATATCGGGAGCGTCTCGCCCATAAATGTCACAATCCATTACGCCGGCCGAATGTCCACATGAGTACATTCGGCGTAGACTCGACATGGCTGCTTTATGGACGAAAAAACGCTGACGAAACCGTTTGTTGGCCGGTGATGAGATATACGTAGAGGCACCGGTTTTGTGCGACTATTTGTTGCGTCCGACGCAGCGACGGATATTTGCGGGCTCGCTGTTTGACAGTTTTTTTAAAGAAACTTTATCACAGGATCAAAGCTTTATAGCTTTCCGGCTATTTTTGTGCGAAGTTGATTGACAATCTCACGCGAGTTATGTATGCAAACGTAATTATCGTATTTGTTTTTTCCTTAATTATTTATTCACGTAGCCGCAATAGCTGTGAATACTGGTTTCCCAACTAAACACAGTAATCTAGAATCAGAGAATTTCAGTGAAACAAATGACCTCATGCATATAGAACAGGAAGCACATCCTAAACGTATCGGCTTTCAATTATAAATCAGCTTTGTTACCGAAATGCTGTGGGCGGCGTGGCAGCGGTGGCGGCGCGTGGTGGCTGCGTGGTGGGCGCGTGGTGGTTGCGTGGTGCGGGCGAGTCCATGCCGCGGCTCCGGTTTAATTAAACCGTGTGACGCAGCACTCGGGCGACACATTACGGCCACTATCTCAGCTGGCAAATGACGCGGAGGCGACGCCTAGCTCAGCTATGTGCCGCCGCGTCGCTAGTGCAACGTGTTATATCGATATGCAATGCTTTGTCACTGATTTTTTTTAAATTTATTGAGAATAAACTTTTACGTAAACTGTATTTAGTTTTGGACGACTGCGCCGATTCATTGTTTAATTTAAAAGGTGTGAATCTATAAAAAAAAAGGTCTGTTATAATTGGCAATGAAACAAATCATGCTTCCTTGATTTTGTAGTTATTTGTCAGATTATAGGTAATCGTTGTTCAGTACAATCATGTCGAATTTTTTACCTAAAAAGATGCCTGAGTTTTATGTCACGAAACCAAAACGAAAATCTCAGTTGCCCACCACAGCAATAAAAATCTTTCCTGGTATCGACAGAACGTCGATATTTTTGCTAACCGCAGCACTAGGGAGCGCATCGCCATCACTCACCTCCGCCGTACAAACTGCGCTCGCCTCCGAAACATAAACTGAATACTAGTGTTCCTATGTCCACATTTGTTACCCTTCTTCTTATTTTATTGTTTGTATACACTTATTTTTCTAATCACGCGCGTGTTTTCGACATTTGGTGATAGCAGTGTGGAATTCACCACCATTGCTCTTTCTAGAGGTCTCGTGAAAGTTAGCTAACCGACTACGAATATGGTTTTAATAGAGATTGGGCAGCAGTACTCTTAGGTTAACCTTTTAAACTGTGATTTTTAACCCAATCATTATTTTATAGTGATGGCACAATGACCAGTTGTCTGACTATCACGGGCTGCTAATTATAATGACGAGCATATCTTACTTTGCCTCCATCTACTTTACAATATTAGTCAAATGAAATTACTAAAATTGTATTTGCGTAAACCCCTTGAGCAATATAAAATATAATAAAATTATTTACGGCAGGTATGGAGCAGTAAAGTATTTGGAATTTATTATACCCAAGAGATGCGATTATTACAATGGCAGAAAACTAAGTCAAAAAATATATAGTAGAACGAATATCTGGCGCATTCAAAGGTAGGAGGGGGGAGAGGAGATCCAAAGGGAAGGTAGGCAGCTTTTTGAGGGCTAGGGATACCTACATAGCCCTTTTATCTTTGGATCTGGACAGTGGACCCCCCCATGGGCCACTATGATTGCCTACCATTAGGCGGTAATATATTTAGCCATTGTCTGTCCCTTATCGATTTATAACAAAATATTGAAATTTTCGTTTGAATTTGTAATTGTTGATCGTATGTTTGCTGGGCAAACATATTTTATTTTATTGTCAACCTGCTGAGACGACTGCAATTAGTGCATTTCAGAACTTACAGTAATTTATTTTCATCATTAGATCATATCATTGAAGTGGATTTGATAATACTTTTCTCATTTGTAAATATGTATAATATTATTATCTTTAAAAAGATCTGTGTGTAAATTTTTACACAGGTATTTTTATTTTGCCGCTACAGATAAAATTTAAAAGAAAACTTCGTCTGAAAACATTTTTATTAAACCTGATATTTGTAGTACATTATTAAAGAAAAATAACCTTTTTTTTATGTTGCAGTTTCAAGTTATTATAATTATAAGTATGTTTTAAATATTAAAATGTGTTATTACTTTTTAAAATTAATAGCTTACAGATTAGCTTATAATAGATTATTTAATGATGATCATAATTATCATTAAACAATCATGGTATTTGATTTTTGAAAGCTTATACTGGACAACATTTTATAACAACGAAAAATGACTGTGATAGCGATTTAAAATGTAGAAACTTCTTAATATGATTATACCCAGCAGGTGTTGTCACCCAACAGAAAATTTAAACTCTACAAGCACAATTTTTGTGATGGCGATAAAAAGCTTTACTTAATTCATGATTACAATAATTGAATTTCCTAATTAGTTATTACGGATCGGAAAATAAACAGACGGGTCACCTGATGGTAAGCAATTACCACCACACTTTGAAGATTGTCAAGGATGTATTAACTACTAAAATATAAAATAATTCTTATATAACAATCTGGACAAACATCGGCCCATATTTTACAACTGATAAATTATTTATAGCCGGCATTAACTTAATTAAAGTTTAACAAAAATGCGAGCAACTACGCAAACGAGTATTTTCTGAGAAATTGCTTATCAAAACAACTGACGGCGCTTTACTTTAATGAAGCTATTATTTTAACAGAAGTGTTTAAATAAATCATCTTGTTACGTGAACCACAGGCTATACCGCCTTTTAACACAATAAAACCCTTTTTTAATGATCAAAGATAAGGCCAGTCGCAAAATTTTTAATAATCATAAAATTTGGTCCTTCGCACCAAGTTTCCGTACGCGAGGACCAGGAAATGGCAGATGATGCCATAAAATGTGTAACACGACCGAGGTGTTGTTTAAGTTGCAAATACACCAGCTGCCTTACTTCTGTACGTTTACAATGAACGAGAAAAATATATTATAATAATGGAGAAGTAAGAAATGAGAATAAGTACCGTAAGCTGCCACTACACCTGCTGTGGAGCCGTTCAATAGTCTATTTAATGAAGATCCCATTACAGCTGAAGTGATGAACGTGAGGAATGTAAAGAGTTAAGCTCGCACCATGAAGTGCTCTTCGCTGTAAACTGAATAAAAACGACTGCCATACTTATTTTAAAATACTCTACGGTAATATTCTGATAATAATATCCTTTTTTATGTATTAAAAAGGAACAGAAGTTGATAAAAAAATATATACATAAATATATATTCAAATAAACTAATAATCACGAAACGTTTCTAAAACTATTGCACCATTAGTAATAAGTTGGGCCCCATTCAATAAAAACTAGGTCAATGTCAGGGAACTGATTGATAGCGCGTCGGAGTGTTAGCAACACAGACCGCGGTCCGGGCGCCTTCCCTCGCCGATGTGCTAACGCCCTTAAAATCAGCCCTAAACACCCGAAATAATCCGCTACCACAAAACCAATCACCCGTCGACGATATAATTTAACACAACATCCATCGCTGCGCGAGTACGCCACATGTTTATACCATAGCGTACTAAAGCGGCGCAGTAAATCGGTCCGAGGGTTTAAAGTGTCGTTATAATTTACGAGGTGCGACGCGGTGGTCCCAACGGTGGAATTTATTCATGGCGGTAATAAAATCTGTCGTTGTGTCCAGAGAGAGAGTCCAGGTTAATTCCTTTTTGAAATTCTGCTACGGAGGGAACTTGGAAGTTTTATCTGGCCTTGGAGCGGAGTATGTTAGTGGAGCTCATTTGAAATTTAAACACTTTATGTTCTGAACGAGTGTGTGTATTGCGAGTTCACTTTTTCACTTGCAGTATATTTGTTTGCTTTATGCAGCTTGCATTTTGGTGTCGTAAGTAAAAATCTTTATGTAATGCTAATAATGCTGCCGCTACGAAAGAAAATATACATCTGGTCTAATTTAGTGCACGCGAGTATTATGCAACGTGTATGGAAATGTCGAGCGTTCAGTATGACAAGAACATCGGAGCACTTGCGTATGTATTCCAAGTTTGTCGTCGACTCAGTAACTTAAGAGTTGAGTTCATTAATTCTGCGCAAATTCAGCAGGATACTGTCGTCACTTACCGAAACTTAGCACTACCCCCCAAAGGTCAGGCGGAATAAACTCGGCATCAAACTTAATTCTACTTTTAACTTACTCACTTAAAACTTCAAGTTAAGCTTAAATTAATAAAAGCTAGTATCATCCAAAGCTTGGTTATTCGTAGACTGTATTTTCTGTTTCGATTAATTAAAACGACCACTTTTATTAGCTGGGGAAAAAACAAATGTTTATTTTGTATTAGTTTTATAATATTTTGTTAGGACGAGCTATCTGGTCATATTTATGATATGGTCTAATTGAATTCTCTGTCTGTCAATTAGATCTCGAGTTATTTCAAAGTGAAATTGAATCACGCCACAAATAGGTTTCTGTCACGACTATGATAAATGGAGTTTGATTGGTTTATCTTCTTAAATCAGTCTCACTCTGTGGCTAAAATACTAATGAAAAGTGTGTTGCAAGTAGTTAAAGACTATTTTGTGGCAGAAAACTAGTATTAAACAGGAGCAATATTGTATGTCGTGGTGGCCCGGAGGTCAAGGAGCCCGCTTCTCATGCATAAGGGTGTGGGTTCGAAACCTGGCAAGTACCAATGTGACTTTTTCCGAGTTGTATGTATGTACTTTCTTTGATTATTTAGACACCACTGACATACGGTGAGGGTAAACATCGTGAAGAAACCTGGACTTATAATTTCTAATTATAAGTTTGAAATTGCCAACCCGCATTGAGCAAGCGTGGTGATTAATGCTCTAACCTTCTCCGTATGAGAAAAGGCCTTTGCTCAGCAGTAGGCTAAGCTAATAAAGATATTGTAAATGAATTGTACCTAATCTTTTATTATCATTTCTAAAAACTATATTAACTACGTCACTAGTTACAACAAAGAATTTTATTTTAATTGCAGTGCTGGAAGGGATGCACCGTCGCGTGCGCAGCGGCGCGGCCAGTCCCCGCCCTCCACTCCGCTGACCACGCCCCGCCGCCCGCGCCGCCATGGCGTTGCATGTCGCACTCTTCCTCATCCTCTGCCTGGTCCACTGCGACACCAAGACCGTGCTGCAGGATAAACTTGGTAAGTCCCACTTAGTACACGTTTATTTACTATTTTGGTAGCCTTGATTTGTCCACGATTATAATAAAAAGTACGAGTACCTATCGAAGCAATGACTTCGGTTAAATACTGAATCGTATATGCTGAGTCGCTTTGTATACAAATAATCTTTTATTTACTAGTATAAAGCAGCTTTAAAACAAATATTCAAAATTATAAAACACCGTGTATGTTATTTTTCTATTTATGTGCCACACTAGATGATTATGA